CTGCTGCTACCGCAATGCTTAGCTATGAAACAACGATTCATACGATCGATACGGCACCATAAGCTGTCGTCATAAACAGATTACCATTAGAAACAATCTGACCAACGAATTTTCCCAAATTGCTTTTATCACTGAGCTGATACTACTTCAAGGATTTTAACATTTGAACATTGAAATTCTTCTTTAAGAGAATAAGTTTTTTTTTTCTTTTTTTCTTTGCGATACGTGCGAGCTATTTGTTCAGCGACATTTTTATTGAGATAGATGTTAAATGATTTTAGTTGTCATATTGAACAATCGTCTTCGAAGATCATCGTTATATTATATGAAAGATTATACAGAATCTGTTTTTTTTTTTTTCCCCCCCCCCCCCCCCCCCCTTTTCACACAGCATGTGTGTAATTCTAAGCTCTTTACAGACGATGCGTTTTTTCATCTCTTTTTTCTTGCCCCTTATAAATTACTTAACAACTATTACAATAAACAATTTATAAGAAAAATTATAAACGATAAAGTGTGATTAAAACGATATTAATAAATGATAAAGTCGTGCTTGTACTTGGTGCTGGCTGCGTTATCTTTTATATCTTTAGATACTCCAGTAATATATCTTTAACTAAACACAACATCATCAATTACCGATTACAATTAAAAACATAATTTAAGACTTAGCTACTGGCTAGTATAAATTATATAAGTAATTCTGTTAGAATAATAATATGATTATAATGGATAACTTTGTAGTTTAAATATCTATTATATGGAGAATAATATTTGAATCATTATCATTATTAATATTAACGAATAATATTATACTTTAAATTCTCTTTCTTCCTTTCTCTCTCTCTCTCTCTCTCTCTCTCTATATATATATATATATATATATATAAATATATATATATCGTTCGCTCTCGTTCAATCTTGCATTTAAACAATTACAGTTAGATAAAAACAAAAACAAAAAAAAAACAAAAAAAAAAAACAAAAAAAAAATTACGACTTTTTACGAATCAATATTACGAGTCATTATCAATTTGAATAATCTGATGTATCGATTCGCAAAAATAAAAGAAAAATAAATTATAATCGTAATTGTCAATAGAGACGTGCGCAAAATACAATTTAACCTTAAAAAATATAACTTTTAATCCATAGTATCATCACTGCGACCGATTGCATTTCTTTTACACTCGAAGCTTTCGTTAGAAAAAAAAAAAAAAAAAACTAGTAGGTTATGTTGGTTTACGCAAAAAGCTCGGAGCGCGAATTTTTTAGCACAGCCCGCCACGGTGAAGCTTACACGATAAACGTTTAAGCATCCTTGGACAGTTTTCGGCATGAAAATTGACGATCGAAGTTACCGAACCGATTTAAATGTATGAGCGACGTCGTTTATAAAATCGCGATTTATTAATGAAATTAAGCATCGGATAATCAGCTCGCGCTTATCGCTAAACTTATAAAATATACTTATCGTTAAAGGGATCATTAGAGAGTTGTCCAAAAAAAAAAAAGAAAAAAAAAGAATAAAAAAAGAAAGAAAAAAAAAAAGTGATAAATACACGGGGATAGCGTAGCGATCGGAAAAATCGACGCACAGTTAGGCGCAAAAGACGCACGTTTAATTCGCAATTCAACCTTCGCGCCGGGAAAAGGTCGAAAAATCGATGTCAACGCTTCGTAAACGATGGAAGATGGCACATCCGAAAGCCGAGCGCCGGATCCACTATACTCGCGACGCGATCGCGTGCGCGTCGCGTCCTTGAAGCTAAAATTCCCCACCAATGTAAACGTCCGCGCATTCACGTGGTAATGTACGTGAAAAACTATCACCACGAGTCGCGCGCGACCACCAAAACCCTATAATGAAGGGAGGAAGAGGCGGAGGATGGTATACTCACACGGTCACGCTTGTTCGCTCGACTCCTGCGGCAATCACAGGCGACGGCAGCCAGTGGATCGTGAAGGATCGTACGACTCGTGCAGGATCTCCACCCGCCCGCGAAGCACAAGAGCGTAACTTAACGAAGCAGACGGCGGCAATGAGTTTGGCACTGTGTGTACCTTGGTGAGCTTGGCGTCGTCTGCAGCGTACGTTCGCGGCATTGGACGTCGGGAGTGTAAAAGACAGGCACTCGGGTTCCGCTCCTTCCAATCAAAACCGTACGATTCGTACACGTGCTCGTGCCGAGTAGGGCGGCTAATCTTAGTTGGATCTTCGGACTTTTGGGACGAGGAGGTGGAGCGCGGGCACATGGATCGCGCGTGGAGGAGTCACTCACTGTCGGACGTATCCGGAGTTGAACGGCCAGGGATATGCGGCGCGTCGAGACGAGCAGTCTTCGAAGAGCCAGAAATTCCTTTATTCGCTTATAAGTGTTAGGCCTGACGTTGTCAAGCTTCGAGGCGGGAAAATTTAAATGCTACCTCGTAGTGAAAGCATAGTGAAATTAATGATACCTGGTTTGGCCGGATTAATCCGTACCATCGTCGGCACTTTTGAGTTTTATTCACAAGATACGTCTCTCATAGTGCGATCTATAATTGTAAATTTAGAAATAACAGCCTTATCGGCTAAAGTTAGATTTGGGAAAGAGATTGAAAAACAAAAAATTAAGATAGTGTCATGAAGGTAAACGAGGATTGGAAGAAAACTATTTTTCATTAAAGCCATTCAAATTCTTTCTTTTTTTTTTTTATTTCTTTTTTTCATTTTTTTTTTTTTTGTTTTTTGTTTTGTTGTTTCTTCTTTTCAATTTCGTCTGTGGACTGCTTTAAATTCACAAGTGCGTCATTATGTGACATTTTTTCACGTTAATTTGATTAAATGCCTCGTATATCAATATAAAACTTTAAAGTTTTAAGGAATTTTCCTTTCCACTGCATGATAAAGCAGAGTAAAGGCAAGATCTACAAATACTACCTATCGTTGTCTCGATTATTTTTTGTTGAAATATACAACATATTCGAAAGTTTATTGGGAGTATTTCGATTGATATTAATTAAAGATGGATTTAAATCCATAGCTATTTATCCTACGCGTGCATGTGAAATAATAAATTGTTATTACGTTAAATTTAAGAGAGAGAGAGAGAGAGAGAGAGAGAGAGAGAGAGAGAGAAGAAAGAAAAAAAATTTTCCTCGTTAAAGTTATATTTTATCATCGTAATTCATATCAAGTTGGTTACGTCGTTCGTTGCACATGTGTAATTTTGAGTTCTAATCAAGTATGCAAATTAGTATTGAAATATAATATTTTAAAATACATAACTTATATAATGTCGCGGATACAATTTAACAAAGAAATATTTGATAAAGTTTGACGAAACTTGAGATTTTACAACTAAGCCTTCAATAACATATTACAACAGCTATTTTTTTATTTTTTATTTTTTTTTTTCAAATACAATAACGTCATATTGAAAACTTCTAAAAACTATAAAACCTATTTACAATAGATTATAGTAATAAAATATAAGTGATTGGTATAAAATTAAAGATATTTAGAAATCAATCAAAAGTAATCTTATATGTCGAAGCTCTATAAAACAATGCATTAATTCATTCGTTCCAATCAATTCGATAAATTGTAGTATTAAAATTCCTATGAAAACCGAAAACAATGATCCAAGCTTTAATCTTAAAAGTAAGAATAATAAAATTGTCAAATCCCTCTACAAATATATTATTATATTTAATTAATTACAAATTATACGACGAATAGGAAATTCTAAAAGACACGTTAAAAATTTATTTTAAATAAAAAATAAAACTATAAAAATTGATATTAATTAATTTTATTTAATTAAAATTTTTGTTTATACCTATTGTATATTTTAATACAATACATTATGTACAAAAATAATATTTTTATATTTCTGTTAGACATTCTTATAAATTAAAATTCATAACAATAAAAAAAAGAAATCACATATCTCGATACACATAATTTAAATGCACAATTTCTGTAATAAATGAAATAAAAAAATAAAAAAAACTCATAATCTCTAACCAATTGTCAGTAATGACGTATATACTACTTTTTTAATCAATGCAATATACAATATATTAAGTTTTTAAATTTTGAATACGCGAAATAATCAATGCATTTTTAACGAAAAATATAATTAAAAAATTAGAAATTGTAAAAAAAATTTTATTTGTTAGAAACTTTGTCTTAAATATTGTAAAGTTAATTACATTTTTATAATATACAGTTTTTTTTTTTTTTTTTTTTTTTTTTTTTTTTTTTTTTTTTTTTCCTTCAACTCGTTATGTTCCATAAATAAACATCTAAGCACCAATCTTTTCGATCTCATCGGCATCCTCGGCATCTAAAAAGTGAATCTTTTTCTTAAAATGTCGCTCGATATCTTGACAGATTTGCATTGCATGCGGTGAATCAATTAAATTTATCGCAATGCCAGATTTGCCAAATCTTCCCGTCCTTCCTATTCTATGTAGGTAAGTTTCACAGTCTGCGCGTTGACTTTGATCCATTGGAAGATCAAAATTTACTACAATCGTTACTTGTTCTACATCGATTCCTGTAAATTCGGATTCATCCACAAACAGGTTAATATCATTGCTGGCAATATAAAAACGTATTAATTACAAATTGAGAAAGATTACCTCTTGCAAGAACATTTGTCGTTATTAAAACTTTTTCAAGTCCTTCTCTAAATCTATCGAGTACAGAAATCCTCTCGATAACTGTGAGATCACCCGATAAAATAGCTACGGCATGTCCATCTTTTATCATTTTTCCAGCTAACCAATTGGCAATTTTTCTCGTCTGTAAAGAGTTATTTTATATGTCAACCAAAATATCGATTTAACAGAGACTAAATGCTTATAACTCGTCTAATACTAACATGACAAAAAATAATTGCTTGACCAATGGTAATAACGCCATAAATATTTGTAATAGCTTGATATTTTTCATCAACGTCTTTACATTTAACGTAATATTGCTTGATATTGTCTAAGCTCTCTTCTTCCTTTAATAATCTTATAATAATAGGATTACTGACAATGATTTCTGCAAATTCCATTACTTCTGGCTCATAGGTTGCAGAGAAGAACATCATTTGACACGTAGAAGGTAATAATCTTAAAAATAGAATAATTTAATTCATGAAAATGTATGTAAATTGAAATATAATCAATCCAATTTTCATTATGCAGAGCACACAATTCGAGTGCTAATTCCGCGATACATTGCATACAAAAATTGTCTTACTTGTGTATTCTAATACATTGATCCTGGTGGCCTTGTGTTGCAATCATTACGTCAGCTTCATCCAAAACAAAAACTGATATCTTTTTCAAATCAAAAAATTTGAATTTGATAGCCCAATCCAATACCTTTCCTGGTGTGCCTATAATTATGTGATCTTCTATTTTGGATCCTCTCGACACTGAAAAAATTACAAATTTATAATCTGGTATGTTTCTTTTTTCTTTTTTTCTTTTTTTCGTCAAAATAATGCGCACGGAAAAGCTATTTAATAGAATTTAATAAAATAGAAGTTTTATTTTTATCTGATTTACTTTAATCCGATTTAAGTATCTTAAATCTATCTTTATTGATTTAAATCACTGTATATAGAAACTAAATATTTAATGAAGTAAAATTAAAATTAATACCACAAACATGTGAAAATTTAATAAATATTGATCACAATTAAACTACGATGATTTATTTAATGATTTTACTTCATTCAATAAATTCATAATTAACGAACAATTGATCTATATATAAATTGTAAATAATTAAATCGCAATGTTTATTTTGAGTTTCGTTTAAACAATGAAATATTGAATTTATTTGTTAAACTAGCTTGTCTTACAAACTGACAAAAAAGTCGTGCGCATAAATCGTTACAAAAATCATTCTGCACGTTTAAACATGTTAAATATGAATAATTACATTCTTCTCCTCTAACGGCGTACTTAAGTTTGATCTCCGAACAGAATTGTGACATTCTAGCTGCCACTTCACCAGTTTGAATTGCCAATTCGTATGTTGGTGACAGACAGAGTACTTGTGGATAAGATTTTGATGAATCCACTCTGCTCAACATTGCTAATACAAAAGCTGCGGTTTTCCCTGTACCAGACTGTGACTGAGCAATCATATTTTGCGGCCTATTAAAGATTACATTAAAAAAATATATAATATATGTCCGTTTGTATGCATTATTATTTTATTGTACATTTACATTAATATTTGAGCACAATGGTTATAAATAACTTGTATAATTATTTATTTATCGTATAATGCCTAAAATGTCTTTTGAAAATAGCTCAAACAGAACTTATCGATGAAATGAAACTATATAAATCTTAATATAATAGAATATAAGGAATATAACTAGTTTTTAGTTTAATTAATAAATTATATCCGACAATGCTAAGCCAAATGTTCAACATTGGCAGACGTTGGAATGCCTGATTAATATTGTAATTAAATTAATTGTATAATAAATTTATCGTACTTACGGATCTGCTAATAATGTGGGTAATGCTGTTTCTTGAATTTTTGACGGAGTATTAAAGCCCATGGCATAAACACCTTTAAGTAGCTCTGGCTTTCTAAAAACAATTTATAATCAAATTAAATAAATGTGTCTGTTAAAATGGCTTTAAAAAAATATGTTAAATATACAAACAAATGCAAAGCTTCAAAACTTTTTATACTATATAAGGGAGAATTAGGATTTTTTCGCTGAATATCCAAAGCTTTTGTCGTCTCTACAAGTCCTTTTCTAATAATTTTCTGTAATAAGGAAGTCTCAGCTGCGGAAATTTGTTCTTTCCCATCTTCGGCTATCGAAGCTGATCGCGTTATGCTTTCAGTTGTTTCACTAGGTGAATCACTTTGATTCTCAATCTCTAAATTCGATGCCTAAAAAATCAAACAACAATTTATGTAAAACACATAGTAAATTGCATATTATATTATTGATGACATAAACGATGACAAAATTTCGAACATGCTTTATATCCGCTTGTTAAATCCTAATTTTTGAAAACAAACAAAACATCGTTCTCGCAAAATTTTTGGAGCTTTCAACTCTGATTAAATGCTCTCCAAAATGTAAGGTTATGCCGGGAAAAACTTTTGCCAATCGTTAATCCACTTGCCTTTGATACCAAGTTCTCTTGCTCTTCCGCATATTTGCCCCAATCAACTTTTGTCGAAGACATTATTGCATAAAGAATTATCGAAAGAACAAAAATAAAAAATCAACCCTATTATTCTTTTAAAAAAAAAAAACAAAAAATTATCTTTACAACCAAAAGCCCTATCACCGGTACTACACAACAAATCTTTTCACACTACGACTTTCCATATTCCATTCCGCTTCTAAATCCCAAATCCCATCGCTTGTCACCCATACTTTACGCCCTCATTCTGGACAAAATCTGCACGTAAAACCCCTAGTCCTCTCGCCACCTCCACATACCAAAATTCCTTTATTATATTCTTATTATAACTCGAACCGTCGTTTTTGAACTTTTGTATCCGTCGATTGCCGACTGACTCGAATGTCGATTTATCGTTAAATTAATAGAATAAAATTTGCAGATTAGGGGTTGAATAGTTTGCTCATACGAACGAATGTGCTGGCAAACAATAACGAGGAACGAGTGGAGCTTTTTTGATTATAATTAATTGTAATTGACAGTGCAAATTAATGATCGGGAAAAAAAAATGTCTCATGAAAAATAATGTCGTGCGTCATTGAAATATCGATGGATGAATCTTAGCCATTGTAGGAAGATTAGAAGAAGCTGAATGTTTATTAACTGAGCGGTTGGCGGATGGTGGGGTAAGGGGCGGGGGTTGCGGGTAGGGGGGAGGGGGGGGTGGGCGAGTAAAGTAACGCGGTTGGACAATTTCTATAATTTGTGCAGGCTGATAGAGATGGTGATTAGTCGTTGGGGCCCGCTGATTTCAAATATTGCCGTTGACGATGTCGCGAGCGGCAGGACAAATCGGGACAATCGGACGGACGGCACAAGCGTACAGAGAGCAACCATTACAAAAGTTTTCAAGGCATTTTATGATATTTCACGAATTATCGGGAAAAAATATGATTAAACGTCCAGGATAAAATGACAAGAATGGTCATTCGTTACAATTATGAATTGGATTAAAAAAAAAAAAAAGAAATAAATAATTTAAAAAATTAGCGTTGATTATTAAGCTGTCCTCTGCGAAATGTCCATTCGTCATTAACGTAACAAATGAATTAACTGAAATAAATAAAACAATGTAGCAATTTCATCTCACCGCTTAAAAAATACGCGTACGAGTGGTATTGAACTGAAATTTGCATAAAAGATTTTACCAATGATTCTAATAAAAAAATCATATTGATTTATAAAATGAGAAAGAAACATTATTAGCAATTTAAGCAAATTACAAATTTTAAGGGTTAATTGATAACGAAATATCAGATTCAATATGGCCTTTCACAATGACAGCCGTGTACCTCTTGGCCCCAATATAAAAGGTAAATAAATAAACTCTTAGCGTAAACGTAATCGTTATAATCGTAGGAATCTTAATGTTAACAGCGATTAATTCGTCGTTTATAGAAAAAAATGAACAGTCATCTATAGAATCAAACAGATACGTTAGCTGCTTACGGTAATATTCTTACAAGTCAAAACATGTTTATCTAATTGTATAACATTGTTATTCACGTGACTCGTTTTAAGAATCCGGGAGGATACGACTTGGCCAGGAATACCTGAACGAAGAATACACAAAAACGTTGTTAATAATACTAAAGCACCATATATTATAACGTTAATTAGAAAGCCTCAAAAGTCTAAAAGCCCTCAGTTGTTACATACGGAGTAGGTTTCTCGTTTAATTTACCTTAAAAAATTTTTATATTTATTATACGAAGAAATAAAATACTTTTATAATTGTAGAAGTTAGCGAATTGAGTGAAAATTTATAAAAGGATTGTTAAAGGAAATCAAATAGTTCGCGATAATTTTCATGTACTTAAGATTTTTTTATACCGCATAAATTAATTTTCATCTATTTAACATATTATATTAACTATGATACAATATTTATTTACATATCGATTTATGAAAATCATGCTAAAAAAATTTAATTACAACATAAATATATATATATATATATAGATATATATAATAATAATAATAATAATAATAATAATAATAATAATACTTCGGTGCTTTGCATAACTTTTAAAGAACAAGAAACATTTCTTTGTACAGAGTCTAAGTTTACATAAAAAAAAAAAATAATATATATATATATATGTATATATAAACCTATGTTATATATCTATTATTTAATAATAAATGTTTTTACATATATCTAATATAAATGTAATGATTGCATATTCTAACTAAAATAATAATTAATTTTAAACCTTATTAAAAAAAAAAAAAAAAAAAAAAAAAAAACCCGTTACGTATAAGAAAATGGAATTTATAACCTTATCATTAAATATTTTTTATTTAATAAATAATGAATCATCCAACTTGAGGACAAATTAATATTTCAATTTATGAATAATATCATTACAATAAAATATTCTTAATAACCTGTGTTTCTTAAATTAAGCTTTACATGATTTTTCTAAAAATGATAATAATTCTTCTTCCTCTTATAAATACATAAAATATTATATATGTAATTTATGCGATCAACTGTCACAGTATATTTATAATAATGAAAAAATTAAAAATAATATATAGTGTATGAGCATGTATATATATATATATATATATATATATATATATATATATATATATATATATATATATATATGTAATTTGCTGTTCCAATTTGCTGTTCACAGATCGATTGCACCACAAGTAAATTCTATAAATCCGTTAAGAAGTAATGACAATACGTTAAACGAGAAAATTAAAAAAGAAAAAATGTAAATTAAAACTAAGTATAATCTAAATTATAATTACTTTAATTGTATTTTTTTATAATTTAAAATTGTAACTAGAGTAAATTTTAGCCATGCAAAGCATACGAATAATTATAATAACAAAAATAAATATGACATAAGTACTGATCAAAACAAAGTAAATCCACCCAAAGAGTTTAATGCCAAAGATAATTATAAAAATACTAGTAAACTTATAACAACCCATGATAATGAAGTTGATTTTGTAGACAAGAACATAAACAATTTAAATACGAATTATCCACAGGTATTTAATATTATAAATATTTAAGTAACTATGAATATATTTTATCACTGTTATCATTAATGTTATTGTTGTTGTTGTTGTTGTTGTTGTTGTTGTTGTTGTTGTTGTCGTTGTCGTTATCGTTGTCGTTCTTCTCGTTCTTCTCGTTCTTCTCGTTCATCTCGTTATTGTCGTTATTATCGTTATTGTCGTTATTGTCATTATTGTCATTATTGTCGTTGTCGTTGTCGTTGTCATTGTTTTTTGTTCTCTTCGTCGTCGTTAACTAATTGTATTAAGAAGTGCAATTTATAGAATTACACAGATTTTAAAATATCAAACGATTATCAAGATAATATTGGGTCAAATAATAATAGCGAACTTTATTCAACTAACATTAGCAAACGTAATTAATATCAATGTATTTTTATTTAATACGAATTATTAATTTTTCATTACATGAAATATATTTTTTAGAAAGAAAAGAAAATAATACTTTGAATAATAAAAATTCGCCTTCCACTGAAAAAAACGAAGAATTCAGCAATTATCAACAAAGTAAATTATAATATAATTATAATTATAAATACAGTGTAAGCGATTTTTTTTTTATGCCTAATGCAGAATCGTATAGAATATACGTTGAACGATGATAGTTCGTACGTGACAACTACAATTATCAAATAGCGTAACATACTTATTGTTAATTATAGCTATGATTTCAAAATAAAATAAAAATCTATTAAAAATAAAAAAACAACAATGTATTATTTACATGTAGTAACGAAACACGAATGGATAGAAAAAATGTGTCCAAATCAATCGTACTTATCGGAAACGACAGATTCGGAAATTTCATCGTCGGACATGACCAAGAATGACCCAACGGAAACTATCGTGGAGAGGCAGATAAAGACTACCCATAAGAAGGGCAACTGCTGCAATAAAATTTTCAAGTATCCGCAGATCAAAAAAGAAAGTGATCTGTGCTCCTGTAAGTACTAAGAGGCCGGGCGCGCTACGCGCTTAGGGTGTTGCACAGCATAATATTGGGAATCCCCGTTGGCTCGCAGGTTCGCAATACGAAAAGCTACGGGCGTCGAAGAAGCTCGTTCACCACTCCGAGTCCCAACTAGAAAGTTCGTTCAACTCGCGCCGATGCCCAACAGCCCACGGCAAGGGTCAATTATACTGCTGCACCAAGGAGTTCCATCGGGTGGCCTCGGACTCCGACTGCAGAACATCTATATACAAGAGCGAGATACCGCGACGCTACAAGGAGCAGAATTACAGCCAGGATCGTGCGCGGAACCTCCGTAATTTCATCTCGTGCCAGGATACTCTGAAAGCACTGCGCTCGTGTAAGAACGAGGAGTCGAAGCAGGAGATTGGTATAAAAGCCAAGCAGGTCATAGAAACGAATTTCTTCAATGGCTTGAAGAAAATGAACAAGAAGAAGGACAATCAAAACTGCGGCAATTCAAGGCGAGCGACGCAAGGACCACCCCAGGAGAAGAGGCGAAAGCGCGACAACGAAATCGTTAATAACTGCGACAACGATGCCATTTACATTTTATCGAGTTTAGACGGCCGACGAGATGTGTAAGCGATGATGCCCCTCGCGACCTCCTTTATAATTCAATTTCATGTTGATTTATTACTACGTAACGAACCTATGACATAATACATTTTCTTGGCTTCGATGCTTTGCGGTGGTGGTTGGGGTGGCGGAAGGTCGGGTGAGGGGCGATGGGGCGATGGGATGACGGGGCGATGGGGGGAGGAAGGAGGGGCGGGGAGAGCAGGCAAAGGTTTTCAAAGACGCTAATTTATATGAAAATAGGACGATAAAGAATGAAATTAATAATGTTAAATGGAAATTTATAAAATTATTTGGATAAATATAATGAATGAAAAAGCAGGAAAATCAAGCTCTCCTTAATCATTACAACATATCAATTATAATATTTCTATAAAAATAGTCAAATCAATGATCGTTAATAATGATAATAAAAAGATGAATAAACGAAGCGTCAATAAACGAATTAATTTCTTGGCTATATAATATTCGACATAATATGCCAAAATCATAGTTGACGCATCATAAGTCAATAGCATTCATTGAATCTATTAAAAATTAATTTTCACTCGCTACCAATCTATGCTGAAAATATCTATCCAAATGAAAAAAAAAAATTTTTTTTTAAACAAAAAGAAAAAAGAAAAAAAATTTTTACGATAGAACATTACGATAGAATCTAAGAAACATAGAAATTAAAAGAAATGTATTTTATTTATAATCTCATTGTTGCAATTTTAATGCTTATAATGTCATTAAGTCGCATCATTTCGTTATTAGAAAGTCGTCGAACGCTTCTATTGCTACGGATAATATTTCACTCGATAAATTTGACTCGATGAATGGGTATTTTGGAGCATCGAAAGACGTGATGGCGGTTAAGAAAGATCCGAGCTCACTGAATAACAAAGAAAAAATTAATCGACAAGAGAGGAGCGATGCGAACAGTCGTCTTTTGAAATTGAAAAGAGCGGGTACGGATTGTCGTCTTATTGTTAATATCAATTAATTTTCTTCTCTTCAATTTCTGCTTTCATCTTTTCACAGTCTTTCTGGGATTCGTACTTTATGCCTTTATTCTCTTTTTACCAACACTTTACGAGTACTTTGTTTATGAAGAAGAGTACGACAAATATGAAGAACAATCTTATATCGAGCTTATACTCAAATACGTGGTTTCGTCATTTCAAGAGGCATTTAGTGACTTCTTTGATTTTATTAGCAAAATATTTTTTCAATCAGTAAGTTTGAGAAGACAAAAAACAAAAATTAATATTTAAATTCAGTAAAATTTTTCTTACAAGTATTATTCCAATGTATTTAGCGCCAATATTCCCCCTCCCCTTTTTTCTTTATGTTGATTATTGCTTTTCTTCTTTTTTTTTTTTTTTTTTTTTTTTTTTTTTTTTTTTTTTCTTTTTTTTTTTTCATGTAGAAAGTGTCATTAATCCAATGTCCGTGGAACCGTCAATTAATCAAACGAACGTATTCTTCGTAACATTTAATCACTGCTGATTTTAATAATTTTGAATGGATTTATTTAACAACTTTTCTATATTTAATACATATTTATTATTTCTAAGCCCCAATCGATTTTGTAACATATTTGTCGAAATAAAAATGCTATAAAGATCTAACGTAGAGTTGATGCGTATGCGTAGTCTTAAAATCAATACCAAATTCCAATCGTTATTATTAGGTATTGCGAGGGATTAAAGGAAGAACATGTTATTTTTCAAATATTGACAGTTACGATCTGTGAGGTAATTATGAGCTATTTTGTTCAATCATCGCCGATATATAGACAAATATAAAGAACCAACGTAAAAGGAAAACAGTATGTTCTATGAATAAAACTTAAAAAAAAAAAAAAAAAAAAACTCGTGTTTTTACCAAGTTAATTAGACATTTTTGTGCTGCTGCTGGAGTAAAATGAAATAGGCACGCGCAAGTAACTACACTGATAATGTATGTTGCATCAAGATCGATAGATCAACGAATAGCCGTCAATATGAATAACAGTGATAATTTCATAATCATTATTAAATTACGTTATAAAATAAAGTGTCGACTACTACAGATATTTCATTTTTAATGTAATGTATGTGACTTTTATGCATACATGAAAACATCCAATAAATTAATTTTGTAACGGCAATACACTCATTTTTTTAAGACGAAATAAAATATAAAGATGAAAAAAAAAAAAAAAAAAAAAAAAAAAAAAAAAAAAAGAAGAAGAATAAACTGCCTCTTCGTATGCATAAAATGTTCAACATTACATATCCTGTGTCTACAATATTATGTAGTACACAGTACACAACAAGAGCGATTGTCACAGTTGACAAGATTTTTTACACATTGTAATTTAAGGAATAACGAGAAATGTGAGAAGACGTATCACTTACATTTGTCCGTCAGCTTTCGAAACTTTACACATTCTCCCGCCTTTATTTAGACTATATCATAATACTTATAAGCATAAATCTATTTAATATGTAAGGATATCTTTTATATAATAATCTCAACGTCTCTCTCATTATCGTAATTTTTATAATAATATTTCATTGCCGTGAATTTATTTAGCTATTTTACAATTTTACATTTTTTTTTCTCACTTTATTGTAAATTAATCAATCGCTCGTTCGTTAATTGAAAAAAGAGAAAGCACGGTGATACAGGGATATTAAACATAAATATAAATCTTATGTCTTTTTCAATGTAAATATACATTTATTTGTGGCGCGGTGGGAGGGCGGCAGGAAGGGCGGGAGGGGGTGGTTGCGTGCGCCCTCGAACAAGAGTATTAATTCATAATTCCGATTATTGGAATCGTCATAATGATTCGACGATGATCCGTGAGATCGAGGGTCTTCAAGGTTATTTCAGTTAAAATCCTTTTGAGGCACGTAAGAAATATTCAAGCTATTTTTACGATTCGAGTAACCGTGCCATTAAAGTTTCTTTATTATTATTATTATTATTTTCATGTTTATTTTATTTATTTATTTATTTATTTATTTATTTGTTTGTTTATTCGTTGTTTTATTTTTGTTTCTATCTATTGGTTTGATGGTTAAGTCTGTTCGGCATATTGATTGGAAAAAAAAAAAAAAAAAAGAGAGATTGAAAACGGTCGTCTTCGAGCGAGGATATTAGCCGTGAAAATCACGTGCCGGTAATGGAGATTAATGCACCGAGGGTTTGGAAAAACCGAGACGGAACATATCGTTATAACGCGATAATAAATAAGGAAGACCGAGAATTATAAATAATTTGGAGGGTGACTCGATGAGATGAACGAGCGAGTGTAGGAAGATAGAATCGCTCGATCGATTGGCCCTCGCGATCCAATGCTTACTTTAGACTTTTAGAGTCAGCAGCGGCGTTAGTATCGTATC